TTTCATCTCCTTTATTGACTATCAGAGAGCCTTTGATAACGTAAAACACGAACCGTTGATGGAGAGACTACAGGAGATAGGCGTACATGGCAAGGACATCAGAATAATTAAAGAACTGTATTGGCAGCAGTCGGCGGAGATCCGTATTGATGGTGATCGAACAACGGAAACCTTCAGCGTATTGAAGGGAGTTCGACAGGGATGTGTACTATCACCCATTCTGTTTAACATCTACGTTGAGAAAATCTTTCAGATGGCTTGGAGAGTGAGACGCGGGGTATTAAAGTCAATGGCATCCCAATAAATAATATCCGCTATGCAGATGACACCGCAATTCTGGCTAACAACCTTGAGGACCTCCAGATTCTGCTAAATAAACTGAACGAATGCGGTGAACAGTTTGGGCTCCATATTAACGTTGCGAAAACTAAAATGATGGTGATCAGCAGACACCAGTACAACACTCATCTTAACATCAATGGAGAGAACATCGAACGGGTCACAAATTTCACCTATCTTAGCGCCTCGCTAAATGAACTGTGGGATTGCGATGAGGAAGTTAAAAGAAGAATCGGCCGTGCAAAAACAACCTTCTTTAAACTAAAGAATTTACTCCGGCATAGAAATATGCCGCTACATACCAGGATACGGTCAATCGTATGTGTGGCCTGTGATGTTGTATGGCGCTGAGATTTGGTCACTTAAGGTAAAATCAATAAACAGAATTGAGGCTTTCGAAATGTGGACACTTCGCCGATTGCTGCGCATACCCTGGACGGAGCATGCAACAAATGATGAAGTCCTAAGAAGAGTCAGAGTAGACAGACAACTAATAGATACCGTAAAACAACGCAAAGTATCATATCTAGGACATATATTAAGGGGACGTCAATACTCCATACCCAGGTTGATACTGCAGGGGAAGATCGAAGGCCGACGGGGACCGGGTCGAAAACAGCATTCTTGGCTTCGCAACATAAGAAACTGGAATGTCATACCTGACGCTGCAACCATATTTCGACGAGCCGAAGAGGGCACCCTAGTCATCTTATAGCCATAAAACAGACGAATGATCGCCAACGTGCGGCATAGCACATGGCACCCAAAGAAGAAGATACGATAAGTAGTTTCTGAGATACAGCCGGCGTCCATTCTTAGTTGGCCACCCGGTACAACTCTAAGAAATATCTTAAATTGAAAAAGATTGGAAACTTCGAAGCAATGCATCTGCCAGGTACTTTATGAATGCGGTGAGTAGTTTATTGGAGAGACAAAATGTCCTGTACGACTTAATAAACACTAGAAGCATATACTAAGGGGTCAAACAATAAAATAGGCCAGTCAGGTATTGCAGATTGTGTCCCAAGCATCATAAGAAGTGGTCGGAACCACAGGATGTTTATTGGAAAACTCATTGAAATAAAAGTAAATTTAAAGCAACAATTACCAATCACTAATCGAATTTATTACCAATCAAAGTACGAAAATTTTCACAATATGGCTACTATTTATCAGAAGTACCAATTCTAGCATCCTCAGCGGACAATCGCACTCTTGGCTGCATTCCATTAAGGGTGAATGGCTTGATGTAGTATATATATATATATATATATATATATATATATATATATATATATATATATATATATATATATATATATATATATATATATATATATATATATATATATATATATATATATATATATATATATATATCATTCAGTTAGCGCGTTTCTTTAGTAATTGAAGTAAAGAAGAAGAAGAAGAAGAAGTTAAATTTAATGACACCTTAAAATTTTAATGTGTTTTAAAGTTGGTTAGGTTGTAGTATATTTTGTTCTAGTGGGCCAATTTTGATGATTTTTAAAGCAATTTGTAGCTACATTATTTGAATTTTTAGCAACTTTTTTTAAATTTTCTAAAAAGTTGATATTGTTGAAGTTGATATGTTGATATTTTGGTGAAAGATTTAACAAAGCGAGGAATTTAAAAATTATTTTATCATCTAGGTACATCTTTTCTCGGTCGTTTGTTTCATCTCAATAGCTTTATTTTTGTTGGAGATATTCGCTTTTGAACAAAACAGTAACCGTTAATATCCGTTAATATCAATCTTAGCATTAAAAGCATGCTTTTTTCTTTGGGTCCTCATCAACACACCTATGAAATAGAGTTTATTGCTTTTCTAATGTCACTGTCATTGAAAAGTAACATTATTATTGTTTGTTGGGAGTTATTATACACTATTATTGCAGTAACTGAACATGGATCAACTGCGCGATTTAAAACCATCTCTGTTTGAGTAACTGCCAACAGACAATAATAATATGAGTTTCCAATGACGCGACGGTGACATTACATAAATCATAAACATTATTTCATAAGCCGGTCGACTAGGACAAAAAACAAAGGCACGGTTTTAATGTAAAAATTACGAAAACATGTCATGTGTCTCCTTTAAAATAGGGATGCACGATCTAGGTATATCGATACTTTTGTAAAATCGATTTTTTATACCGAAAATTCGATTTTTTTGAATCGATTTTTCGTGTACCGATCTTTAAGAGAATCGGGACTTTACCACAAAAATCGATTTTTCGATCTTTCTCTCTTTTTTTAGTCCATTAGAAACAATATGAAAATTTGCAGAAGGTTTTTGTAAGTTTTTTATGCTAACGACTAAATCTGTAATATTAAATAATTGATGGCTCCAGAGCAGAGATATAGAGATCTCTATATCTCTGCTCCAGAGTCCCTGCATTATGCAAAAACGCAGAATGTAGTTAAAGTACTATCTGTGGTACTATCTATGGCTAAAGGTAGCAACAGCTTGTGTCGGTTATTTCTTGTCATTGGCAACTAAAAAAGTAAGACAAAGAAATTTTATAGTGTAATAGTAGATGGATTGACGTTCCTCGATAAATAAAAATATGTATGTTGATATTGTAGTTTTTTATATATATTTTTATATCGTATGCTCGAAAAAAACGGCGTTCAGTTGATACGGCCTCAGTCATAAAATGACTAGAGGTGGGCTGTGAAATCGCAGTCTGCTACTTTGTCACAGCTCCACCAACGTCGCAGTATGTGACAAGTTCTCGCAGTATGTGACTCGTCGCAGTCTAGTTCCAAGAAAATCGCAGTGACATTTCGGAGCAGTTTACAAGTTTAGGACATCTGCGTTCATGAGTAGCAATAGGAGCAATAGCGTAAATTCTGTAAATGCTTCTAGTCCCGTCGGCGTCGCCCGGTCAGATTCAGATTGTTCCAGTCACAGTCGTCGCAGGTAGTCTACTGGAGCTGTTGGGAGTTTGGGAACAGGAAACGTTTAGCGTTCGCTTTTTCTTTCATGAAATGAATCTAAATATCTAAATAAGATATTTATGTATTATAAATTAATCATGAACAGATGTTTTTGACAAAGGTAATTTTTAACTGGTTAGTATGTTTATTTGTTAGTTAATTTTGTATCTGTGTCTTATTTTTTGTTGTTATATACATATCTTAAATCTTTTATTTGCTCTTATACATTTATGTAAGTTTTATTATTTATATCTATTTTTAAGGTCTGATGATGGCTGAATAGCCGAAACCGGTCACTAATAAAGAATTTTTGTATTTGTTGACAGTGGTTTCGACTTTGATTTGAATATAACATTAAGTTTTTACCATGGGCCACCACTTTGTGAAAATGAACGGACTCTTTAAGATATTTATAGCAACGTGCTTGGTACTTAGAAACACTCAAATTCTCCTTAACAGACTAAAAAATATAGCAACATCTATTGAACTAAGAAAATATTAATATATTAATTTTATGTATAAATAAATAAAAAAATAGCGATGATATTGCCTATCACAATCACACCGGTAACAGGTAGTCCGGTACATTTTTAGTAAAGTTTTTTATATCGTATGCTCGAAAAAAACGGCGTTCAGTTGATACGGCCTCAGTCATAAAATGACTAGAGGTGGGCTGAGAGTTTAGTCCGGTACTTTTTTAGCCACCGAACAGTGCCGAATGCCGAACACTGAATGCGATTTTTCGGAGCAATTAGCCTATAAAAATAAATTTTCAATTTATAGGTTAATTGCTCCAAAAAATCGCTGCTACTTGTCACAGTGCTTTTACTGGAGCAGTCGCAGAGCGTAGCAGCTCTAGAAAAATCGCAGACTGGCCCACCTCTAAAAATGACAAGCGATCATTTCATAGCCATCGATGACGCCATCTATTTTTCGATCCTACGGTATTATTAAAACAATACGAAAAATATCGATTTTTTGAAGAATCGATCTTTTGTCGGCGATTTTTTATAGAATCGATTCTATTACTTTCGATTCGAATCGATCCTCAGAAATCGATCTTTTCAAAAAATCGTGCATCCCTACTTTAAAACCGAATATCTTCAAGAAAAATAAAGCTATTGAGATAAACCAAAAAAAAACTATCGAAAAAATATGCACCTAGATGATAAAATTATTTCTAAATTCCTAGCTTTGTTAACAATATTCGATAGGATGTTTCAAGATTTAACCAAAATATCAACACTTTGTTTTACCTCGTATAACTGACAGACGAGAACTAACATTTTTAATTTAGAAACAGATATTAAAATGTCAAATAAAGCTTAAAAATTGCTTAAAAGATCGTCAAAATCGGTTGACTAGAATACAATATGTAAAACTCTAAAATACATCAAAAGTTTAAGGTGTCCGTTTTTCATGCCGATGAGTGTATTAGCTATTCAATATTTACTACTACTACTACTATTATTTTGTAATCTACTACTATTTTGTAATTTGCAATTACAATGGGCCAAATTAAATTTATGAAAATATTTTTAATTATGGAATATCCTGAGTATATGTTTTATGATTTATATATATATGTTTTTTGATTTTTTCATAGCCACTGTGAAATTTCATATTTATAAAATCTTCACAAATAAATACCTGAGTAAAACGATATTGCAAATAAATTGTAATTTAAATTCTAGGATACGTAGGATGTTTTAGAGGATTTCAGATAGGAAATATACTGATTGACTTGCCTCCTAAAATAAATACGAGTAAAAAGGGTAAGTAGTGTTTCAATTTAATATCTGGAAAAAGTTAACTCCTAAAATTTTATGTACAGGAGTCACAGCGAATTGTAACATGAAATGCGATGAGCTACCTTGCAAGCATGGCGGAATTTGTATTGAAGATTTCGGAAATCAAGAGAATACATGCAACTGTGAACATACAAGTTATTATGGTGAATTCTGCAACGAAGAAAAAGGTATCTTTCGATAAATATACGCAAAGATTCACGGCGATGATAGACGATTAGCCGCTTATGGGGAACGGGTAAAGGATTTTAAGTACAAAATTATTGTATTCTTACATAAGCGATCCTACATCCATTAAAATAAATTACGTATTTTTAGCCTTACAGTGTTGCTGCATCAACGCCCGGTGTGTTACACATAGGGTGTCATTGTCATCACATTTTTGAAAACTATTTTATTTTCCATATTATAGATTTCTAAATTTAATTTTAATAATTTATTAATTAATAACTAACAATTAATTTAATAATTAACAATTAACTATACAGATACAAAATTAAACATACACCGTGCTGGCAACTCTTACTTTTGGGTCGGTATTCATATGTGTGGAAGTAAATCCCATAGGGATCTTATTATGTCATAGTGAGAGAAATGCGACGGTGTGCTGTTGCGGGGTTGTCACATTTCTCTGGTACGGTAGTAAAATCAAGTCAAGTAAAGTAAAATCCCGTAAACCGTTTATTTTTAACCTTAGACTTTTTTTAAACAGTAGTAAATGGCACTAATCGAGATAACTTCAAAACTCAACTTTTTAACACATAACACGCGTTAACTCAAGAACCACTTTAGATATTGAAGCTTTTTTTGTTCGAAAGTTCGGATCTTTTACAAGATGTTTAAGTAAGAAAAATTCGATAAGCTTGTTTTTTTTTCAATCACAAATTTAAAAACATCCAACACTTTTATTTATAAATATTTTCACATACTATTTGCGAAGAAAATACAGCAGAAATATTAAGAAAGTGTTTGAAAAAACTACAATCAGTTATTTCTAATGGATTTCGGGATATCGATTTTTGAATCCAGTGTTCTAATAGCGCAACCACTGTCGAACACGTACTCAATTCCACTTATTTTTACCAACGGTGCAAGTGTTTTTAACTTGCACTTAAAAATTTACAAGCTATAGGGAAAATTAGAACGAAAATAAATAAACAAATAAAGTATCATGAGACGTAATTAAACCGTGAAGCTGAACGCATGATGTACACCCTTCTCTAAAATTTTAAGTACCTACTGATTGTGTCGACCGGTCGACCGTGACGAATCTGCTTATTCCCTTCCACGTCTCTTAGCAATGTGCACAGTTTCTCGGTTTATTTAATACGTTTGACAACATTTTTACTGTTCTCTCTTTGTTCAGTTCATTATAAACGCATTGTCCTCTTCTTACATAAGGAAATCCCGACACAAAGCTAGCCTTTAGTATACAGGGTCCGGCAATAGTGCGTCGGGCATCTGTAGCTCCTAGAATAAAAAACTTGAGAATTTTGTTTAAGTACAAACCTAAAGTATGTACCAGGTTGTATTTCAGGAAAATATTTTAACTTCTATAGGGTGGCTCAAAAAAGTGTGAGTGGACCTGGATTATTTTTTTTAAATGGACACCCTGTATATTATTGCATTTTTGGCTTCCTTTCAAATCACTTTACATAATCCTAAGATATTAATAAATATATTTCGATAGTTTCAGAGATATTAAAAAATAAATCAAAAATATATATTTTTCAGCCCTTCTTAAAAAAATATTAAAAATACAAGAACTGTTCTGAAATCAAAACTATATTAGGTATTTACTCTAGATGGTCTGTTCTTACTTTGCTATAAATATGATAATCATACAGGATGTTCAATATTCTACGCCAAACATTCTAAAATATAAAATATTTTTTCTTTGTTTTTTTAAATGGAACACCCTGTATATTATTTTTTTATTAGATGGAGAGTTAAAAAATGAACATTTTTTGTATTTAGAGTATTTAAATTTTTTTAACGGTTTCGCAGATACACGCAGTATTATTTCATATGGCGTTTTCAATGGTAAAATACGAGAGAAAAATCACTGGGTGGCTTTGATAAAAAATTACTGTGGAAAATGCCATATGAAATATAAAACCGCAAATATCTGCGAAACCGTTAGAAATTTTGAAATACTCTAAATACAAAAAATGTTCATTTTTTAATTCTCCATCTATTGAAAAAATAATATACGGGGTGTTCCATTTAAAAAAAAAAACGAAGAAAAATTATTTTATATTTTAGAAACTTTGGCGTAGAATTTTGAACATCCTGTATGATATACGATTTTCATATTTATAGAAAAGTAAGTACAGACCATCTAAAGTAAATACCTAATATAGTTTTGATTTCAGAACAGTTCTTGTATTTTTAATAATTTTTTTGAAAAGGGCTGAAAAATAGATATTTTTGATTTATTTTTTAATATCTCTGAAACTATCGAAATATATTTATTAATATCTTAGGGTTATGTAAAGTGATTTGAAAGGAAGCCAAAAATGTAATAATATACAGGGTGTTCCATTTAAAAAAAATCATCCAGGTCAACTCACACTTTTTTGAGCCACCCTATAGAAGTTAAAATATTTTTCTAATATTTTCAAATACATCCTGGTACATACTTTAGGTTTGCACTTAAACAAAATTCTCAAGTTTTTTATTCTAGGAGCTACAGATGCCCGACGCACTATTGCCGGACCCTGTATGTAATATTGAAAAAATTGTGATCTACAATAATCATGAAAAAATTCATAATTTAATAATTTTGAATACTGAAATTTGGGTTATGTGATAAGGAAAGTCGATACATCTGAACTGTAAAGTGTACTTAATTTTTTTTCTTCTGATATTTTTTAAATGCCAGTTACTTTTTTTATCTTATTTAGAACTCTACTTTAAAATTGTAGTGCTATTCACTAAAATTGTGTAGAAAATTGTAAGTTAAGCAAGCACATTTTTTCCAGTAGACAGCTGGTTTTACTTGACGGTACGATTCATGTACGATTTATATTCTATTCGGTGTGTACTGCCGCTAAATGACGAAATCGTCTGGATCTTGATGTTTCAGTAGTACTTCTGGTATTCAAAGTGCCATTTCTGAGTGCTGTTTATCAGATCGAGGCATCCAGCAAAATTAACCTGATGATAGGAATAAATCCTCGAAATCCTTTGTCAAATGGTAACGTCTTTTAGATTTTTAAATAATATACGTAAGATTCAATTAAAAAAATATATTTAGCCAAATTTTCGGAAAAACGAAAATAAATATTTTTTTCCACAGTTCACACTTGATTGACATTGAAAGTTGTCAGTGATACTTCTGACCGAAACGTTGTATAAGCAAAATAAATAGAGACAATGGAAGTCCGAAATTCTTTTAGTTTCACATATCCCTTCTTGTATGATATGTCTGATTCATGAAAAACATTGTATATCAAAAGGTATTTTGAAAAAAAACTGAATTTTTTGCCTAGTGCGAAAAATTCGCCAGTAATTTTTATATGTCATTCCTTAATGCCATAACCCATTTTCCAATAGGCTAAAATCACGACTCTATCTATGCTTCTTCAAGATCATGTAAGTAGAAGTAGGCGACATTATGTAAGAATCCAACTTTGCAAAATTATCCTCTTACCCGTTTTCTATAAATGGCAGCCTTTGTATAAGCAATATAGTGCGTAAATTACCCTATTTGTATCTTATATGGTTCAACATATTTTTCAATATGGTTCAATCCAATCATTAAAATTGTCATTGTCTATATTTTTCTAATTAATCACAATACGATATGACGTTTAGGATACCACTCTCCTGTGTGTAGAACAAAAACTTTTTTTTAAATGGTGGATTTTTTTTCTGATATACTGTTCGTTATCGTTAGACCGCACGGACTAATCCCCGAAGATAGCGAAATATCCCCTGGAGTGTGGAACTTTCTGAATAAAACCAACTCTTTTGAATTCAGCGAACCTTTGTATTAGCAGCTATATATTCCGGATTGTATGATATGTGTTGGGGATGAACCCCTGGACGCCTAAGGCATGGTTATGTTAAATGTCCAGAAGAATGGTTTTAAGGGGGCGGTATTTTTTGTTCAGATGATGGAATGTAGAATTAAGGATAGCAGCAACTTTCCTAAAGAATTTAAGAGTACGATCTCTTATTATATATCGACACTGCACTGGTGAGGTCGCTGAAAAGAAGACCAAGGGGCATTGGTAATATGGACACGCAACGCAGGATTTTATTTTCGTAGACTTAAAACTTGCCGATTTAGTAATCGGATGCTCTAGACCAGTCAGTCGAGGCATATAATTATTGGGGACGAATTATTGTTAGTAATAATTAAGATAAAGCTAGGGTGACGCCAAGATATTTGGCGGTGTATCCTCAAACAATCTCTCCACCGCCCTCCTCTATTGTCGGAGGGATTGAACGTTTTATTCGTCCCAAAAACTTTGTTTTTCGGTTTGCAAAAGAATTAATACAGACTTTTTCTAATACCGTGCAAATACTTGAAGGGGCATTGGTTTATAATAGGATTTTTAATAATAATATAAATAATATTTGTTTTTATTTTTTATAAGGGATTTGGTTTATAATAGGGGTTAGTAAAATGACAATGCTTGAAGGGAGGTGCTTGATGGGTAGGTTATCGATATTATCAATACCTGGAGCTTCGATATTTTTGATAACTGAGAAGAGCGACTTAATTTCCATATAGTGATGGGCAAAACTGTTATTTTTAGATAACAGTTGAAACTGTTATAGTTATTTATAAAAAACAGCTTAAAATAACAGCTTAAAAATAACAGGTTTCTTTATTTTACTGCTAAATATCTGAAAGAGTATGAGGCGGTCACCGCCAGGCGTATTAACACGCAGTTGCAAGTTGCAACAATGACGTGCTCGGTGGTAGTATTTCCAGGGTGTCAAAACATTTCTAAATATCGATTGTTATCTAAAATACCTCTCTAAAAACGGTGGTTGTTTACAAATAAGCGCTGTTTACAAATTGCGATATAAAAAAAGCCAAAATTCCGCCACTCGTCTATATCTATACATTCCGATCTACCTACGCCCTGCCCCTCGATCCGCGTAGATCCTGAATTGCGTAGAAGTGTACAGGATGCATCTCACTCGATGGGCGAGAAGCTCTTAGTTATGATTTTACTATTTGCGGTCAAAAAATAGCAATATAAGAAAATGTGTAGTATATTCTTCATAAGTAAACCAACTACACACTAGAGTTCGAATTAATTCTACACTTAGACTAGCGTGTACCCGCGACTTCGTTCGCGTAGAATTAATAATTTCTAATGGTGATGATAAAGCAAAACAAGAATTTCCATTAACATACAAACTGGATAAGATTTTCTCACATTCGCCAAAAATAAGCTTTCTAACGTCGAGCAGTTTAAGCAGAATCGTGGTTAATCAATTACTGAACTTTTTGGAACACCCTGTATGATTTTTTAAAAAATTTCAAAATATGTAAAAAAACAAAATAAATTATGCGTGTCCAGACGTTTTCCCGAATATTGTAATATTTGAGGGGCATTTTCACCCTGTTGGAATTTGAGATTCGAGAAACCCATCCTTATCGAACCTCAACCCCACAGTCAATCCGTTTGCCAAAAATCAGCTTTAAACGTCAAGCAGTTTAAGTAGAATAGTGATTACTCAATGGTCATCTTTTTTGAAACACCCTATATATATTTTTAAAAAATCTTAAAATATGTAAAACAACATAATAAAATATACGTGTTTTAAGAGTTTTTCCGAAAAACTCCCGGTTTTTAAATAAAAAATATTCTAATATTTGAGAGTAGTTTCACCCCCTTAGAATTCGAGTTTCGAAAAATCCCTTCTTATCGAACCTCTACATACTAAAGTCAATCCGTTTTCCAAAAATTAGCTTTTTACGTCAAGGGCTTTAAGCAGGTTTGTGATTAATCAATGACCAGATTTTTCAAAACACCCTGTATACATTTTTAAAAAATCTTAAAAATTATTCTGAAAATTTTTCAGAATAAATAAATACCTAAATATTGAAACTTAATAAGTAAGTACTGAAACATACAGCGGCCATAATATCTCGACCTCCGCCCGTTATGCTCGTAACAGGTTGAAACAGAATGTATCTAAAACAACTGATGGCGTTATTCTCCAACCTGTTTCGAACCTCCATCGACAATCGACCGATGCAGCAGTGTTCCTTTCCCACTCCGATTATCTCGACCGCCACCCTGTTATGCTCGTAATAGATTGAAAAACAACATATCTAAAATGACTGCTTCTCCAACCCGTTGCGAGCCTCCATCGACAATCGACCGATGCAGCAGCGTTCCTTTCCCACTCCTGTTATCTCGACCGCCAGGCGTTATGCCCCCGCAACTGTTTCAAAAAACCTGCTTCTTTTATATCCTATTATTTTTAAGCTGTTGCAAATCCAATACGACCATTGACGGTATCGACCGAAGCAGCTACGTTCGCCGTAGCGCTTTCCCCACTCCGTTGTCCGTTGTCTCGCCGCCTGTATCGATGGTTGACGAAATAACATGTTTTCCATCCATATTAGTTGTTATTTGGAATTGCTTCGAGCAGCATAGAATTTCGTTGCGGTGCAGAGCGCCGACTTCGTTTTCCGTTTCACGAGCGGCCGATCTCTACGTGTCGTTATTTTATATCTGTTATTTTTTAGAAGTAGTAACGGTTGCGTTATGTTATTTATAAATAATTGTTATAAAATAACAGATAGTTAAATAACAACTCATCACTATTTCCATAGATTACGGCTATAGGGATTACGGTTATACCTTGGGTCTGAGGGAGTTCTCGAAGAAGTCAGAGAAGAGATATGCAATTTTTGGAATTTTGCCCAGTTTGTTTCCTTACGGAATTGATGGGTCGAAATGCATTGGGTTTCAGTGATTTTAAAGAACAGCGGAGAATGGTCGGAGCTATCATGGATAGCTACCGCCAGATGTGAAGTAAGATTTTGGAAAATACCGATGTCAATGTTAGAAAAACAAAGTCATCTATTGTGTTGATCGCGGCCTTGCGTTGGATCGGGTTGTTTCTTACGAACCAAGGGGTGTTCAGATACATGCGCAAAATTTTTGACTGGAAGGTTTCTAACTTCTTTATTGTCGACGTAGGGGATACGTTGAACCAGACCTGGCGATGTTAATTGAAAGTTTGCTGGATCTGCATATCAAAGGGTAGAATTGCCTTATAATGCCATACCCTTGCGCCAACGCGTACTAGATTTGGGTGGACTAACTACCGATCAAATTGTAGCCTCATGTAGGATATTTTTGTCTTCCAAGGAGTGTGAAGCTTGTCAACCAGGAGCCTGAGCGAGATAATTGAGCGATCCTTGGAGAAGAGGATAGCTTGCGATTTCACAGGTTTTGTTCCACTGTGTGGTTCAAGTGAATTTGTAAGTTTTTCCTGATTAGGTCGGTGCTTCTGCCTGACAACAGGATGGCGGTGTCGTCGGAGAACAGGGCTAGATGGGAGTCGGTGGTCCTGACCAGTATGTCTGCTCTGTAAATAATAAATAGTGTCGGCGAGAGAGGGGATCCTTGGGGGACTCCTGCTGCGATGGACTTGTAACGGCCGAGGTTGGGCTCTAATTTCATTTGGAAGTGTATTCCTGTGAGAAACGACTTAAATAGGGCCGTTAGGGCTACGGGGAGGCCTAGTCTCTGGCACTTAGCTATACGTCCCTCGTGCCATACTGTGTCGAAAACCTTCTTTAGAGGCTCCTGCTGCTTGATGGGCCGAGGATAGGCCCGTTCAAAATCCGAATTGAAAGTCGGGGATCGTGTGCTTCTCCTCAAGTGTACTCGCCAGAGGAGTTGGGGTATATCGCGACTCCTTTTTTTTGTCTACAGCCGTAGATAGGAACGGCTACTTGATTTGTGATTTTTTTCGTTGTGAACAACTTCAGTTTGTTGAATATTTGCTTTTGTCCCGCGGTACAATTTGGATGATTTTCCCTTTTGCCTTATTTTGAGTTTCCGGTATTCCTGCTCTGTAGCTGCTACGTTATCTATAGCTGCCGATGTTACCGGTGCAGGGGCAGAAGTGGGTGTGTCTGTTTCTATTAAAGCTTGGTTCCTAGGCAATGGAGGAAGGTCTTCCTTTTTATCTAGTTTTTAGGGGCTCCTTCTGGATTTCTTTCTCGATAGGCCTCGGGCCCACCACAAAAAACTGGTCGACTGTAGAGCGAGATACACTGAGATATCGATTGGAACGGAATAACAGAACTAAGCAGAGGCAGGTGATCGAGCGATACTTTCACATACTGTTGCCATTACTCGCTGCCGAGTATTTGACACGCACCAAGAAGATGGCTGCGCAAGACGTTTTCTTTCATGAGCTTTTCTGTGACTGAAAAGCCCTATACGCGATTTTATCTCTCTTCCGCACTCCGAACATTCAAAAATCTCATTACTTTGTTGCCTCTTTACTTTTTGGTTGTTGCTGTTAACCGAGTTTATAATTCCTCTCCATTGTGTTCTATTGTGCGCTGCTTCTTCCCACTCATTCTGCATGTTTATCCCCTTTAAGTTTTCGTGGAAAATATCTTTGTACCTTTTGAGTTGTCCACCCGGTTTTCTCTTACCATCTACAAGCTCACCGTAAAGCAGAGGTTTTGGTAGGCAGTTTTCTTGCATTCTGCATACGATGCTTTCACTACCACTGATCGGACTGGACTATGAAGAAATCCAAACAGACATGACGGAAAAAACAACAATGAATCAAGAATTGTCGAATTAACAATGACGTTCAACCAATAAGATAACAGTTTCGGCGCAATCGCAGTTCTGTCGATATCTAGGAGAAATAGACTTAATAATATAGCATTAATATGCAGCTTGGTTATATTGTGTTTTTGTTGGGTAGGTATAGAGGAAAATCCACACGCTTTGGCTTTAAATGCATTGTAAAAAATAATCAAAAAAAGGTATCTGTCTATTAATGGCGAGTAATATATTTTTCGAAAGGTTGTAGATGTGTGAATTAGAAAAATAAAGACAATGAAAGTTCAGCCGTTTTATCAATGAATCGTTTATTAACTAACTGTAATCTCTTGTAAAATAGGTGCTGATTTTAATGGTGAAGCGATCTTAAGTCGGGTATATGTTCTCAACGGTACTGTGGATTACGTAAAGATTCAACTAGCGTTTTCAAGTCTTGATGTGAGGCAAAAAAATACAGTTTTATTGTTGCTGCAGACAGAAAACAAGTAAGTTTTAATTTCATTTATCCTTTTGCTTTTCGATTTATTTTGGCCCATTTTAGAACCAAAGCCTTCTAAAGAAAAAAAGGCTTTGGCGAATGCGTACAAATAAAATGATAGTGTAGCCCGTACCAGTTGTCAAATTCCTTCAGATTATTAGAAATGCGCGTAGTTGGTTAGGATCAACGTTGAATTTATTTTAACTATATTATTACAAGGAAAACGGAAAATATATACTGTTTGTTATAGAAGATAATAAATTATTAAAGAGTTAAATTAATAATGTAATATTTTGGGAGCTCAGTAGCAATACTATGGTTAATGCTTATACACCGTCCGGCCACTACTTCTATTTATTATTGATGTGTTTTTATCTTTATGTGATTCCTCCCATTCTGTTGTATGAATTCGAACTATGAACTATATGTATTTTGATATTTTTCAATAAGTCAGGTGTGATCCTATTTCTATTGTTTTACATCCTGTTTGTCCAATATAAAAGGTCTAAGCGTTGCAACAGTAAAATCTTATCTATCATATTAAGTGCATATTGTTGTACCGTATGTGTAAATTTGGTCAAAATAATGTATGCGATGATAGGTTGATTTGATGAAATATTCAATGGCCATATAATCTATTAATTAATAACTTGCTGTTTACAACAAATTGTTTGATGATGTTCAACACTTTTTGAAAACCACACCGTGATAAAGGAATCTTAAAAATATATGAGATAAAAAATCAAACGTAAATCCAATATATTATCCTAGAATTATATATTTTTAGTCGAAGTTACTACTTGTTGGTTGGACTGAGTCTGGAAGGTTATCTTATTATCCAAGAAGATCGAGAAGGAGCAGTTTTTTCAGCAACCGTTAACAAAAAAAGTTTTATAAATGGTGCTCGACACTCAATTTATTACAAAAGAGAGTTTAATGAATCAGAACTCTATGTAGATAGAGAACTCACTGATATGGTACAAATTCCAGCTCAAACATTTACAAATATCCCGGAGTTAGGTGCCAACGAAGTCCAGATTGGAGGACAAGAAACAAATGATCCTAGATTCGCAATTTATAAGAAGTTTAGCGGCTGTTTATCTAGTAAGTATTTTTTCCCATAGCTTAGAAATCATATTAGTGAAATTTCGATGATAAGAGAATTAAGGTTATTTTTAAAATAATTAGCTCTTTTTAAATATGTAAAAAAATAACGATTATTTAAAAGTCTTTATTTGGGATTATTTTCAGCGTGTTATGCGTGGTTTGATAAATTAGACTTTGAAGTCAAGTTTCAGTTTTTCGATAACAAGCAAAAACTAATGGTTTGTGGAACGACTTCATTGTTACTCAGTGCACTAGAATCATCCCCCCAGGCAGTATTATCCTCAAACTAAACAATCTAAAATATTTGTTTTATGCACAGAAATATCTAGGTTTGATTACATACACTAAAGTTTATGTAAAAAGTGTTTAACTTTTTAACTCTTCTTAAAAAGGAGTGTTATAAAATAGACAATATTAAACTGAATTAGGTAAAAAATCCTACATCTTCTTTCCATATCGTCTTCTAAGGAAGGTGGCGATCACACAGTTGAAAGTATATCAATCCTTTTCTAATAAATCAGCTGTTCTGCATTCATTTTAATCAAATCTCAGATATTCCTAAATCATGATTTGAAGTTTCTTCGAAATCTCCAATTCCCTTCAACTCGTCCTAGCATGATGGTATGTGTGTTTCATTTCTTAATATGTGTAATAATATTGTATACACTTTAACTACAGCCATGAGGATATTTCAATACCTAATGCCTAGTGCGTCGAAACACATTTCATTGTCACCTTTGGTGCCCAATAAATCTTAATACTCATCGGTAGATGAGTAGGGCCTCTTCATTGTTTGACTTTTCAACGAAGTCTCTAATCCGTAAAATAAATACCGTAATATTCTAGTAACCTCATTCTTATGGAAATGTTTAGATTTTTATATTTTAACTCATAAAAGCTATAAAAAATATATAGCTCTTTCTAGCTATTGCGGTTCTTATTTTAATTTCTTGATTGTGAATTCCTCATCTGGTCTAATCTTGAGTTGATTGTGACACCTAGATATTTTTGTTTATCAAATCGCTCTACCACATTTCCTTCAAAACTGTGGCGCGTGTTAGGTATTTGATTCTCGTAGACGACCATAAATTTAGTTTTATGATATTGTTTGGCATTTTCTGTGGACACTTTCTACTAAACGTTACATATAACCTATGTTACTTTACATACCTATTTAAAATACAGCAAATATACAAAAAAATTTGTAGTGCTTATTTTTAAATATCTATTATTTATTAATTTGACGTATGGCACTATAACGTTAGTAGACCATTTATGAAACAAGAACAAAATGTAGATATAAAATCCATAAAAGAGGTACATAACATGTATTTGACAAACTTACAATTAAACATGAAATATAATCTATCGCCATCTACTGTTAGAAGGAAATCAGTAAGGTACCTACACTTTAAGTGAACTAGCAAAAGTCAAATTTACCATTAAAAGTGTTTGTTGTTAATTGTTAATATGGATCCTTGTCTTTTTAAGGTTATTATTATTTATATTTTGTTCTGCTGTTACTCACCATTTCGTTAACGTTTAAATATACGTAATATTTTATCAAGTTTTCAGAAAATATTTACTCTGATTTTCTGATTATAATTAATACTGTGATAACATACTTTTCCATTAAATAAATTATATTCTTAGGTATCATCTGATTTATAAAGACAATGCAAATATTTCTTCTAGATATTCTCAATAATTTACATGTTTAATTTTACAGATATTTTTATAGAAGTTAATAAACACGTTATGAAACCCCTTGAAGAATATATGTTGTTTACTAAAGCTGGATCAGAAAAGGTAAACGTATCAAATTCTCATGGCGTTCGAAGTGCCCAATGCAGTGCTGATTTTGATGTAGTTCACGAAAAAGCCCCTGGTATACCTAATTTAAATATAAGTCAGGTAAAAATTTATCTTAAATACTGTAGATATTGTGACGAAGGGTTCAGTTTAGTTTAGTTTTTCTCAATTGTTTAATTCAGCTCATGATTAATACTGTAAGAGATAGAAACTCTGCCGTAGGCAGTGGTTAGTATTACTTAACCAAACCAAATCTATTGATTTGTTTTGGTTTGGTACGGTAAAAAATTAGTAATCAGTTATTACTAAATTTGTAATGTATGGCAAAACTGGATGCCTTACTGGATACTATTAATATTGGATTTTCGAATCCATTGAGAAATGATGAGTCTAGAAAGATGCTTGATAACGAATAATATGTTATAATGTTGGTCTGATGTTGGACTCCAGAGTTTAGTGGAGCGACTTGAAGGTTCCTGTAAGAAATACGGGATGAAGATAAAACCAAAGTTATGGTATTTGGAAAGAACCGAAATGTATCAGTTCCCAATAAAACAGGCAAGGCAATATCTTAGAACAGGTCTACAAGTTCAAATATTTGAGCTCCTGGTTCACCTTGAACAACGACGTGGAAATAAAAACCAGGAGAGAACAGGCCCGTATTTGGGAAAGCCCAAAAGGAAACAATTATGTTTTTTGTAACGTTTCGCGACTTTATTGTCGCTTCTTCAAGCACTAAAACATTTAGTAATCCAAATGCCTACAAACTGATTCATGGCAAGTTTGACAAATATACCTTCATCAAAACTACTTTTTACGTAACATTTTTATAGCTGGACAAGACATATTTTATTAAACTGCTAACATTTTCTGATATCAGCCCAAAGTGTTAGTTTTGAATCGCCTTATAGAGCTAAACATTTTTTAGGGAAAGGATAAAACATGGGTACAGGACGCTCCGCAGAGGATTTTGTACACTTCCATATATTCTGCAGACTCAGTTGAAGAGGACAATATCGAACAAATAATTGTAATCGCTTTAGCATCGTTTTTCGTGTTGATTTTAATATGCATATGCTATGATGTGTACAGAACAGACAAAAAATACAAAGAGAGGAAAGAATTTGAAACCGATGCAAGTATTCTTTTATCTAAACAACAAGCAGCAATTAAACTTCAGGATAGCAATAAAGCGGTAAATTATGAATATCTTTCAAAAAAAGTGTTTGATTTGTTTTTCGATTTGAATAGACATCAGATGAAGAACGTAAGAACTCACTTAAGCTTCAACAGAATGGAAAAGTTCAAAATGAAAAAGTTAATGGTGATGCAGTAAATGGTAAAACAGTTGAAGAAAATGGACCAGTGCCAGAAGAAGTGCCACAAAAGTCTAAAAGTAACGACAGGAAAGATCGACAAAAACGAATAAGCTTTCGAGGTTCGTAAATATTATCAAAATATCATAGCTTTTTACTATTACTGTCATTGTATTACATCGAGTAAAGCTTGATTTTCATGCATCCGTTGTCCGACGATACGATGATACGATATTAATATTATTGTTTGAATTAAAGGCTTCGATTGGTTAACCGTTTCTAGCCAATCAAAGTCTTTAAATCCAACCAATAAAATTAATATCGTATAATCGTATCGTCGGATAACGGATGCATGAAAATCAAGCTTAAGTCCGCAAATGACGTGACAATTAACCTTGATAGTTCTGTTTACTATTTATTTATTTTATGGATTGAATGGTAAATAATATATTTTTCTTGTGTTGTCATAAATTATATTCGTCTTATTAATTTTGATTGGGTCTCAATTAATTCTGGTTCATAAATTATTTATAGTATAGAAGCGTTCAAATATAGCACCATAAGTTTATAAAATTTTATAAATATATAATATATAATATTTTTGACACATTTAATTGTGTTGATAGAACAATGTTTTAAAAAATGTCTATACCTATATGGCGGATTCATCTCTCCAAAAAATCCTATATGAGGTATTTCGCCACTGCAAGAAAATCTACAGAATAAAATAGTTATTTTGTTAATCCCAAATGGAAACTACTTGTCAGAAGTTAGGTTTACAGATATACAAATTTGCCTAACGAACAAAAACTTAGCGTTTCGGCAAGTTTATCTCTTTCCGTCGTCGGAAGCAAAAAAAATACAAAGAATAAATAAAAAAATTATTTAAAATATTTAAATTCAACTATTCGAGAACACTTTAGTTTTTTAACAGATACGTCTACAAAAAAACCGTTGACGTTCTGTTAAAATATACCTATATAAATATATATATATATATATATATATATATATATATATATATATATATATATATATATATATATATATATATATATATATATATATATATATATATATATATATATATATATATATATATATATATATATATATATACATATATATATTTTAACAGAACGACGGAAAGAGATAAACTTTCCGAAACGTTAAGCATTTTTTTGTTCGTTAGGCAAATTTGTATATCTGTAAACCTAACTTCTGACAAGTAGTTTCCGTTTGAGATTAACGCAGAAGTGTTTATAAAAAATAACTATTTTATTTTGTAGATTTTCTTGCAGTGGCGAAATACCCATATAGGATTTTTTGGAGAGAACAATGTTTTGTCTTCGCTCATGCGTCAATTGAGAACTTATACGCATGACTAAAACTAAAAATTTCTTACTAGTACGCGGACTGCTCGGACGATTAGAAATAAGTTGGAAACTTTATTTTTTTACAAACGGTGGATTTTTGGTTAGGAATCATGTATTTTACTTTCAATCACAAACGTTTTAAACTTTATATTAAAAATTTTGACATGTTAGAATGTCGTGAGTTTGAATATTTCCTTCTCTCGTTTGGAAAGATCCCACAAGAAATGCCCCAATGACCAATTTTCATCACTTTAAGTAAATGCTAGTTTAAGATTTTTATTAAGGTTGCCAGTTTACATTAGAGGTTTAAGATTACTTATTGATTACGAAGTGGGATATTGGATATCTAGATAAAATTAATAAAAGGTACAAGATCTTTAAGCGGTAGTTTCACAGGGCAGTCAACTGCCATAGCGTGTTAGGTAGGCGTGGTTATACTGCCAACTGTGAATCATGCGATTGCGATCGCAGTTGTCTGTTATAGCATCTATTGCGATGAGTCTAGAGTCTAGAGTGATCTTCTAGTTTTGTTATCGCAGTCGCAAACACGACGAAAACCAAATGACGAAAAATATAAAACGCATTGCGTTCTGGTATGAACAAATTTTTACACTAATTGAATTGTATGAAGAAAATGATTTTTTATGGAACATTAAGTCAGTGGACTATAAAAACAATACAAAAAGAAAACCTGCATTAACAAAAATAGCGGAGAAGATGGTATTAGCCGAAGATATAGTAAGAAAAAGTTAAGTCATTAAGAGCCACGTATTTGATAGAAAAGAAGAAGGTGCTTGATAGTCAGAAAACAGGTTCAACCACTGATAACCTGTACTCTCCAACAGTGCCTTGGTTTCAGCAGATGCACTTTTTAAATGACATTACAATGAATTATTGCCGTTGTTCAGTTAACAAAACTAGAAGATATTCTACTCATCGCAATAGATGCCATAACAGACAACTGCGATCGCAATCGTATGATTCACATTTCCGAAACACATTTTTCCTCAATAACATTTTTTTGAATAACAAAGTATTGCATAACTAACCACTGTTTTGGTATGCGGCGCCATTTAAAACAAAAAAAATACGAAATCAATAATTATCTTGAAACAGGAAGTCGCAGTAAAAATAATCGTTGCTATAGCAGACAACTGCTATGTGAAACTGCCGCTTTAAGGTTGGTGCCAACTTAAATAACTTGTAGTATCGGCTGTTATAAGTTATATAATGAGTTTTTATAATAATTCGAGAACCCAATTTATAAACTCAATAGTGTTCAGTTAACATCCTGGTCTTTGCTGTGATAAATAAAACTTTCTGCTTCCATAGTAATTGCAGTTGCAATTATAGAATCTAAAAAAGATTTGCGAATAAGAACAATTCAATAAAACTTCAATGATATATGTCATTTGTAAATTTTGTAACCTCAGTCCCTGTTACAACACCATTGGTAATATTCATAAGCACATTCTATCAAATTTTCTTTAGCGTATTTCGCACAGATTTGTTTGAATTATTAAAATGAAAAACTACACTAGAAATAAGTTAAATGCATAGGTATTTTTTGCCTAAATGTAATAAGAAATTTAGACTCAAGTTCAGATTTAGCACCACATATCTTTTTTTGGTGTGCTGATAATAATATTTGTGTCTGTCCATACATAGATCAGCTAGCATATCCAAGCCCAAGCAAAATCCAAGCAAAAATCCAGGCTCTAAATGACAACATGACATTTTTGACTATTTTTATTTAATATATTGACTGGCGGGAACTTATAAGTTACATAAAGAGCCTTACAGTGGCGGCGCTTACTTTATGTGATTGTCATTACTCTGATCTAACATTAATTACAGATAGTGCAAGTGAATTGACTTGGGATAATCCTGATGAAACGTCAGATATGTTAAGTCCAATGATGGAAGAGGAAGAAGATGAACAAGAAGAAAATAATGATATAGATGATCACGATCAAGCAGTAAGTAGTAATAGTAACCTACTCAGCATGGCACCTATAAGTTCTATTAGTGAGGTTACGCTTGCTGATCGAAAATCAGTGGTAAGCATTGACAATTTAACAATTCTTAAATAACACGTTTTACAAATATGTATGCTGTTGTGACTATTGTATGAGCTTATCTGAAATAACTAAAATGTAAAAACACAGTAAATAAGTAAATTGTAAAATAGATGTGTAGTTGTGAAATACTGATGACACACATCACAAGTACATGCGAGAGGTAGCCGACGCTCTATATAGAGTATGGCACTGTAAGAAGAAGAAGTAAAATAGATACATACACTTCTAATTATTTGTCTAAGTATTTACAAAACATTGAACAACAAATATTTTAAAGATAAATATTCTGAAATCTGAATTCTGAATACTATCAATATAAATCAGGGTTGGGAAAAATCATGATTTAAAAAAAATCAGATTTTTTTAATTTAAATCAGATTTTTTTTATTTTAATTCAAAACATTCTTTAAATCGGATTTCCACATGAGTAGGACTTATTTCCAATTAAAGTCCTATCCTAAATGGCTAAATCTTTATAACTCTGCCCGATAACATCAACAGTTCTGCGGCGCGTTTGTCATTTTTCCACATCGGTCACCAATATATTCCGCAAAAAAGTCGCTCGCTTCAGATCAAAAGGATTTTTTTTTCAAACATCTCAAAAGTATTAATTTTTATCATTTTAACGGCTAGGCATAAAAGTAAAGCGCTGTTACACCTAAACACAAAAGTACAAAAATATATTAAGTCGAGAATGAAATTAGTATTATCTGTCAAAGTGTAAATTACTTACTGCAGATCAATATATCGGTAGAAATTTGGAAACATACAACCGTTTCAAGAAAATATAAAACAACATATTTTCTGACAACAATTATAGATTCTTAGTAATGAAGATATAGTCTCTATATCAGAAGAACCTAGTTCTGTACTCGACTGTGAATGATATGTATTCGAACAGCGAATTTTTGTCACTTATACATAAATTTTAAAATAAGTCCCTAAGTTTTTGCGGTCTAATGGATTCACACGAAATCACTTCAAAAATCAGCCCAACATTTAAATTGAGGAATGGATATTTTTATATTGTTTTATTTACATTATTAACATTTACAATTATTTTTCGATTTATTATCTGTTATATCTGTTATAGAAATATTTTTTAAAGTTTTCTAGGACACATTTTTATAACTTTTACAATTATTTTTTGATTTGTTATAAAGTTTTAATATATTTTTTTTAATTTAAATTACACGATTAAAATAAAAAAAATCATTTGATTGGTTGGCATGATTTAAATCTTAGTAGATTAAATCAGTTTAGGATAAACCACAGCCTATTCATGCCAAACTTACCGACTTTTGCATGGAAATCTTATGTTAGCTGCTTAGTCTATCTTACTTTATGTGATACGCCCCCTTGTGAGGTCTATTGAAACTTCGTTTAAAAAACATAATCAAATAAAATATTAAATTGAAATTAAACCTCTAGAATTATCCCAGCATATATAATTGTAAAACGTTTAACACGAAACTGATTTGGATGTATGGAAAATGCTTTTTTCATTTATATCGCATGTTTTCATAATTAACATAAGAAATGACAACGTAAACTAATTTAAAATGTATGTAAAAGATATATCAGACATTAAAATTCTAAGCACATTTCCATTGCATTTACAAAATATTGTTTGCCTTTTAAAATGCTTTAATTAAGATTTCCAAAATAAGAATTCTTATAAGTAAATGCCACTAATATTCTAAACTGCATCTAAGAGTACTAACTACATATGTTACAATTTTTATTTAAAATATGTTTAAATTTTTTTATTAATTATTATGCTAAAATAAAAGTAAACAATTTCCACAAATTCCATAAGAAATTGTAAATAAAAAATGTGGCAATTATAATACATTGTGGCAATTCTTAACTTGGAAATCCTGCACATCTTTCGACAACGCTTTTATTAATATTCTGAAAACTCTAAACTGTCTCTAAAACTGTCTGAAACAAAAAGTGCGGTAGTTACAAACGTACAGTATGATATCAATAATAATGATAGATCTTTACCATTTTTTTTCTATTTTACCTTTTTATTGTATGTCAAAATACCTGATTTACCAGGTCAAATTGTTTCCCAAAACATCCCCAGCCAGAGGAATTGTTTTTTGAGTAGGTTTGATTTTTTTGATTCCGTAAACCGTATAAACCCTCTTTAAAGGTGACTGTGATGTCAAGTTACCTTGAAAATAACAATCAATAACAATATGCCTAATTTATCAAATAATGTCACTGAACGTAATTTACAGCCAACTCTTTTTTCGTGTTGATCTTAATATGGTTATATTATAAAGTTCGCTAGCGAGCGTAACATCAACACCAAAAGTGAAAGGGTTAATTTTTGTCTTAAATTTCACTAATTGAGAATAGTACTGAAAATTAATACTGAAAATATTAAATGTAAATAAATATAAATGATATCGCTGAAGAACTATACTGAAAATATTAAATGTTTCAACCAATTTTAAGGACTTTTTGCCTTTCGATCAGTTTTGTCTATATTCAAAAATAAAGTGGTGGAGAATTGTCAATAAAAAATTTATTTCAATTATTTTGATTTTCCTCTAAGTTTAGTACCTACTAATTGAAATTAGGGATGAAAATAACTGCCACTTTATCTTTGTTACTTTTTTTAACAAAGCGGGAAGATTATTTTATAATCAGACGTTTCGGTTTTAAGACACCATCACCAAATATCAAAATTAAAATACAGACCTACACCACCCACCCTAACCTAACGTAACTACCGGTGTTCAAACTTGTTCGACGGAACACGGGCCCGCGAGGGGCCTGTTGCATGGCTTACAAACTTATATTGAACCATTTGTGTACTAACAAAAAATACAAACTACAGCCAAAGAGTAGAAACTTGCTATGAACTACACATATGCTTATTTTCTCATTATTCTAATTGATGAACATTACTAATTATATCATGAAACTTTATTTTTGTTCATTTCCTTACTTCTTCCTCCTCCTCCTCCTTCTTATTACTCTATAAGAGTATGGTGACATTATGATATCGCATTTATGGTGTCTCTCCATGTTGCTCTGTCTTGCGCAGCAGTACTGGCCTCGTGCAGACTATGACCTATTATTGTCTTCATTTGGTCCACCCAACAACGGTTTGGAGATCTCCCTCTAGGACGTTTCCCGTTCACTTTTCCCTCCACAATTAGTCTAGGCCATTGGTGTTCCTGGATATGTGGCCAAAGTATCTTAAATATGACTGTTGATATCGACAGTCTAGATTCGATATTCAGTTGTTCTAGTATTGAAATAGTTGTACGGTGAGCTGTGTACTGTATTCGCAGCATCCGTCTATAACACCACATTTCAAAAGCATCGATTTTACGTTTCATTGCCAACTTCAATGTCCAGGTCTCTGAGGCATAAGTGGCAATGGGGAGAGGATCGCGTATTAGAGGGGAGAGGATCAAAAATTAGGGCTCTTAGTAGTCTGAGCTTGTTGCTAATTGAAATGGCTGAATCTTTCCATATTTTATTGAGTTTGGTCATGGAATTACGTGCTATACACAGTCTTCTCTTGATTTCTGCGTCACATCGTCCTTTGATATCAAGGAGCCGAGATATATATATTGATCTACAACTTCGAAACCTGCTATTTCTGTTGTATTCGTGGACTCTCGATCGATAATCATTAATTTTGTTTTTCTTTTATTTAGGTTTAACCCATATCTCTCGCTAACCACCTCTAATTTGTGCATAATGGATTTTAATTCATTAGCGGAGGATGCGAGTATAAGTGTATCATCTGCGTACCTTAAATTTGTTATTTGTTTACCGCCTATAGTGATACCGCCGTTGTAGTCTTCCATAAATTCCCTCATTATAGATTCGCCACATATATTGAAGAGTAATGCTGGATTCAGAGTTCCGTAGCCGTAAGACGTAAGCCGTATCGTTAAGACGTAAGGGATATCGACCTTCACGATCACACGATTGCGTTCATAGATCTCCGTATGCCGTAAGCCGTATGCCGTAAGACGTAAGAAGTGAACCAATTTTAATTCTTACGTTACGTCTTATCGAATCGGGTGTTGTCGGCTAGGTTCGGTGGTACTCGGTAGCCATTTCTACAACTTTTATAATATATTTCACAGATATTTCACTTCGGCAACGAAAATATAATTGTCCGTGTCCATTTTAGTTCAATTAAATTAATAATAACAAAATAAATAACGAGTATTATAGTTTTATTTACAACATTCACAGCCCAAACAACAACATAACCTATTAAAAAACGGTAATGCGCACGCTTACGATGAAGTATCGTTACGTCTTACGGCAACTATGAATGGCTTTCCTTGCGCCTTAAGTCTTACGGCTAACGATACGGCTTACGTCTTACGGCTACGGAACTCTGAATCCAGCATAAGGGAGATAACATGCATCCCTGGCGCACTCCCGCCTCCTTTATCACATAAGAAATTCTCTTACCACATACTCAGCCTTACTTCTTACCACAAATCGTGCTGCTAAGACTCCCAATTTGGTCGCAAATAGCAGTGTACGAAGTGTCTCTGAAATAAGTAACTTTTTGATTTACTATTTGTACTCTTTATAATATATACTTTTCTAATCGGCATTCTTATAACTACATATTTTCAAAAACTTTTAAAGATAATTGAAATACGTCTAGCATGCCATGAATGAGAACAGGAATTGCAAATATGCATTTGATTTAGAAAGCATAGTTAGTCTAATTTAAACAAAATAATTGAAAATTATTAGCAAGATTTTGTAAACAGGATATACCACCACCAACACCGCCTTCGCGTAGAGGATCAAAATTCCACCTCCAAATATTCATCCCATGGCGACGACCTTGCCATATATGATTGACGAAACTACCACCAGTGTTTAACAAGCAACTCACTTATCATCCATAAAATACATTATCATATTCACAATCTTTAGTAACGATAGCTTTTTCACAAGCCAGTAGTATATAATTTCGGATGTTTCTGTTTAATATATTAATTTGTGTTTTTAATATATGTATCCATTTTGATATTATTTATGGTTGTGCTTTCCTCATGATTATTACTATATATTATTAAATAGTTTATATTAAAGTAACAGAAACATTTTTATGTATTACTCCTCACATATGTAAAATAAATCTATTCTAAAGGAACCATTCAACAGGCACATATTATGTTTCATGTAGTAGTAAGTGGTGTAAGATAGAAATGTGATATAATTAGGTCTTCAAGTTTTATAAAATTTGTTCCTCTAGATACTCAAAGATGCAGATTCTTCGTTGTATCCAGTGGAAACTACCAGTAAGTATCTATTAGTAATTTTTATACGTATGTACGAGTGACATGGAAGTTGTAAATAGAATAAGAAATAAAATAAAGATGTCTTAAATATTCACTTTATCAAAGTGCATACTTAAAACACCTTTTTAACCGTGTTCAAAATCGAACCGGAAATGTTTAGTATTAGCAACCTCACTTTAAAGGCGTTATTTGATATAAAATTCTTGAGTCTCTGCTTAGACAAAAAGTTTCTTGGGGAATTTTTAAGGACAAAAATCTCACATTCAACTTACAGCCTATTGGTTTTAAAAAGTACTTAGATTTGCAAGACACGGTATAATATGCTATTATAGTGATATTCACATTGTTTAGAGGTCAAAAAAGGCACTGCGTATTATAGGTACTAATTCTTAGAATAAACATATTTTGCAGATCTACATTTTGCAATAATAATTTATTAACAGTTCCAGCTTATTTTGTTAATATAAGTAGGTATAGGCTTGGTGCATTCTTCGCCAGTGCTACCACCATCGGAGAATATCGTAAACAACTAGTACTTGCAAATACACGGATTTAAATACGGAGAATACGAAAAATTTATTATTTAATTATTTAAAAGTGTAAGCTTCATTCAGAACCTCCCAATTAGTGGAATAAATTAGTGGTTTCAATTACACTTTATACTCTTTAGTTTACGATCATTCACAATGTCTGAAAACACTATTAAAATTAATAAAATATCCTAGCAACAGCTTGCGGTAGTTTGTTGTATCCATAGAGAAAGCATAATATGTAGCTTATAAAACAATAAACTTTTGATTTCTAACCAAAATTTTTCTTGACGGGTGATAATCAAAGGCCAAAATGACATTCCTCGCAAATTTTTGAAGTATAATTAGTGGAAAAGTCAAAAGTTTGTTTCCACCAAAGTTTCCACTAATTGAAAATTACTATCACTAATTATGACGTTCTGAATGCTTACATCAAAATTAGGAGAACAAACTTCTACGATTAATTGAAACTACTAATTTATTCCCCTGATTTCGAGGTTCTGAATGAAGCTTTAGGAAGTATAATTTGTGAAAATTCTAAAATAAAAATAAAAAAATAAATATTTTGATGTCTTCAGTAGGTCTAACATGTATTATAATATATTATTCCAGTTAAAAAACTTTTTTAGATGAGTTACGGTAGCGAGCTGAGTTTTAATCACCGGTTTTAGCTAGTGGGGCTATTTCGGCTTTAACGAATTTTTTTAAAGGTACATAATTATAATTTTAGAAGATGTTTATATCATTTAATCACTAGTAGATTAAAAAAAGTATACCGTTAATATTGCCAAATTATATTTTATTTTCTCATAGTACCTGTACCTCTCATGTCTATTTAAATTTTGATTATGTAACGAGAACTCTGTTTACTCAGTTGTTTTGTCGAACTGCTTGAATCCATTTTTGCCAAACCACGATTTCAATAATATTTTAATGTGATCAACAAGACGCGACGGCGCCGGCGGCGTGAAATAGGTACCTACTAATAGTTTCTGATTGTTGCCGACGAAGCGCTGCCGTCGGAATTTGTTCAAATCAGTGATATGCACCAAGCCTATATCAGTATGCTGAGATAAGATTTTACTATACAGTATTAAAAACCGTTAACAAAAACCACCACAATCAAAAACCCTAATAATTATTTATTTATTAACAAGTAGAAAAACTTTTTTATATTTTAATTATTTAGATATATTAATATTAGTATATAATACATTAATCTCAGTTTATCCCTATCTAACTCAGTTTATTATTTTAATACCCGATCTAAAATTAATGGACTTTTATTTATTAATATGTCTTCCAGGAACAGTCATTTTGAACAAAAAAATCAACAGAAGCTATAATCAAAAACACAATTTTCTCATTAAATACACACAACCAAACTTATATGGAATCACCTATTATTTTCCATAATTTTTGAGATGTATGAGAATTTTCTGTTTATGAATAAAACTCAGTCTTTACCAATGACTTTTAATGCAAAATAATCCATATAGCAATAAAAAAAAAAATAATCAGTTCCCAAAATAAACAAAATGGTATTTTTTGGTTTCTGAAACGAAATTAAGATTTAAATTTTTAATGGCCAAAAAGCTTAAACAAAAGAAAATTGGTAATTTTAATATTCTTTGTTGCCACCTCTAGCCCTTATGCAAGCTTCTATCCGCGCTGGCATGCTTCTTGTTAAATTATCCACGTTGTCTTGGGGTATGTTTTCCCATTATGCTAATGCTGCATCAATAAGCTGTGCGAGATTTCCTGGATTGTTTCGACGAGCTCTAACCCTTCTTTTGAGCTAGTCCCACAAGTGTTCGATAGGGTTTAGATCTGGTAAATAGGCAGGCCAGTCCAAAACTATGACACCTTCCGTTTCAATACGTTCTCTAGTCACTCTGCTGGTATGGGGAGGTGCACTATCGCGCATGAAATTAAAATTATCCCCAATTGCAGCTCTCCACAGACTAACGATTGGTTCTAGCACCAAATCAACATATCTCCGACTCGTTAAAATTTGTTGAAGTGGTAACAATGGAGTTTTTGCTCCTAGTATAATACCTCCCTACAAAAATTACAGTTCCTCCTTTATATCTTGGTACAGATTCGTCTTCCTGGAGCTCTAAGAACCCGAATTCGATGGTTATCTGATCTTAGGCCAATTCTACTCTCATCCGAAAAAAGAACATTTTGCCAATTCTCAGTTGTCCAGTTTTGATGATGAAGGCATCAATTTAGCCGGTCAATTTTATTTTGCCGAGATAACTGTAGGATCCGTAACTCTTTCCTACTGTAAAACCCTCGTGCACGAAGACTGTTTCTTATGGTTTCAACTGAAATGTTCACACTTGTAGCTGCCAGAAGTTGTCTTTGTAGCTCTGGATGAGAAACATTGGGATTTATTCTAGCAATTTAGCACACAAGGCGGTCTTGTTGTTCAGTTGTGACTCTTTGGCGAATTTGTATGGGCCTATCCTTGTGTGTTCCCTAATTCCAAGTATCTTGCATATGGTTTCGATACAACACCATGGGTAACGCCTACTATCTCTGCTACGTCTCTCTGGAGCATTCCTTGTTCGGTGAGAGCAATAATTCTTACCCTCTGTACATTTATTAATCCAACATAAGGCATTTTTTAAATATTTTGGATTGAATGAAAATTACCGGACAATCGTGATTTTTACTACTGAACACAAAATTCAAAAGAAAATAAATCGCAGTAGTCGTTTACTCTTTATTATCATGTTTATTTACAACAAAAAGCCTTATCTTAAAGTTGTATACCAATTTTTATCCTTGCAAGAAATTTAGTCAGAAATAAAGAGTGATTCCATATAAGTTTGGTTGTGTATATATATTTTAGGTATTTGAATTGCTGAATAAAAGAAAAAGACTATAAAAGAGAGTACAACATACCGAAAAATATAACACTTAGTTTTAACTCAATCTGTATATATCAAACAAGATTGCAAACTTTGGTAGGCTGAATTTTTAAGACCTTATTATGCAGATGCAGTACTTTTTCAAAAACTTTTAAATTCTTCGAATTTAGAATTTTGAGAGGCCTATAAGTAAGCAATAAATTTAATTTAAAAACTTTAAATTAACAAAAAATTAAAAACTTAAAATTATTAAGTATCACAGTTTTTCGGCAGAATGGGATCGTTAAATAAAACTGAACATATCGAAAATAATTAAATCAAATTGTTTAAGTGATATTTTCAAAAGTGAATAACTCGGAAACGGTTGATTTGAGGTACATTGTGTGTATCCTGATTCTTGCTTAGAATTGAAGGAAAAACCGAAATAAGGAATAATATACAGGGGGCTCCATTAAAAAAAATGAGACTTTATGATTGACCCTGTATACTTAAATGTATTACTCGCTAATAGATATTTAAAAATCCTATAACTTCTGTATAACTTTTTGCGGTACCTATTATATTTTACCTAATAATCGACCGTTTCCATATATAACAGCGACCCTGTACAGGGTGGGTCAAATTCGACGCTTTTATATGGAAACACCCTTTTCTATAGGAGATAGACAAAAACTAATATCGGTGTCTGGAGCTCAATTTTTGTCAAAAACATGATGGTGAAAACCGCATATCGATATCTGTTACCGTTTCGGAGTTACGGGGTGTTTTTCAAAAATATGCATTTTTAACAAATCGCTGTAACTTTTTTGCTATGGAAAATTTTATATTTTTATGAAAACATTTCCAAAGCACTTTTTTACGTAGAATTTAATGGTGTTTTAAATTTTTTTTTAATTAATAATTTAAGAATTATCAACAGAAAATTTGATTTTTATATGGGACACCCTGTATATTTTTAGTTTATTGAAAAGAATTCAAAATTACCTTTCCAAAAATATAACACACTTGATATTTTGCTCGATTCCTCTTCGAGATATAGAGAATATAAAACTTCGCCCTCTTTAAATAAGTAGGCTTTGAACGGCACCGGCTGTAATGCAAAAAAAAATCTAGCTATGAGCATCAATTAAAACGAAAATAATATTTGCTATGAGAGATGCAGAATTTTATAACAATTTAAAATATATTTAACCAACATCAACACATTTAAACTATATCTAATAACAATAAAAATAAATAGCAAACCAAGACATGAGATTTTGCTACAGGTGTTCGATATATCGACCGTCTTCTGTTATGGACAGACGGGGTAGTTTTTGAATATTTCTCGCGGAATTCATTAACTCAGTGGGGGTGAAAGGTACCCTTTCATAACTGCTAAGTATTTCTAATTCTTGTCTAGATTTTACGGAAGAATAAGGAACCTTTATTCTTCCGCAAATATATCCATAGGATTAGATCCATGGGCACTAAGTCAGGCGGCTTCGACGGCCAACAGCTGGGATCTTGGTTAGCTATTCAATTATTCTTGAAATTGGC